TTCCTATAGGAATTCCTATAGGAATTGAAAATTCCTATAGGCATTGAAAATTCCTATAGGAATTCCTATAGGAATTGAAATTTCCTATAGGAATTCCTATTGGCATTGAAAATTCCTATAGGAATTCCTATAGGAATTGAAAATGGTGAAAAAATTCCTATAGGAAAAAATATTCCTGTAGGAATTCCTATAGGATTGGAAAATGGCTATAGGAATTCCTATAGGAAATGAAAATTCCTATAGGATTTGAAAATGGTGAAAAAAAATCCTATAGGAAATAAAAATTCCTATAGGAATTCTTATAGGATTGGAAAATGGTGGGAAAAATTCATAGCCTATACCACTATGGCCTGATACATGCATGGGTATAAGAACTTTACTTATATAAAAAATTATACAGATAAATATAATTTACGAAATAACTCCTTCCTACAGGAATTTCTATTTCTTATAGGAATTTTTTCACCATTATCATATCCTATAAGAATTCTTATAGGAATTTTAATTTCTTATACAACTACACTATTCCTATATCGTATTTTACTCATAGACATTTATTAATAGAGAATTTAATACTGGGACTATTTATTTTCTAAGATTAAATGAATAATTACCGCAATGTGCGCGACTGACAGACTGGTGTCTAGTTTTCTTGCCACGCGCGCAAAGCATCAAGGGATAGATCATCACACCTCCGATATTTTTTCAAGTCAGTGTTTGTCAATGGTTTATGTGCAAAATAGAACTATTTTTGATGGGATTCAACTGGATTTTCACTAGTAATACATCAGGGATGTTTGCATAATGTTCAGGTAAGAATAAGTTTATATTTTATTTATAATAAAGCAAATTATAAAGGAAATACCTCCAATCTTCTTTTGTGAAATTCGAGCATGTGGTTCGATAAAATTTGAATTTGCCGCGACAATATAAACGGAATTAGAATGCTGATATAAATATATTTATAGCGTTTATACTTCAACAAATGCTACTATAAAAGTTTTATATTTGAATCAGACTTATCCATGTTTATAATTTAATATATTTGTATATCCCAAGTGCCAACTGTATATGCCAGATTAATTGTAAATTGTCAGCCATATTTAATGCATGCCTATAGAAAATTTAACTACTTGCTCAAATCAGCAGCAGTATTTATTCATATGTTTTGTTTAAATTAAACAATTTTCATTTTGAGAGGTCTTGCACCAGTCAATGTATTAAAATCTGTTAGCCTTTAGACATGCTTTAGTGTAATGCCAGGAAAATTATCCATGTTTTTCTATTAATTAAACATAACTATGTGATGGTATTCAAATTAACCAGACTCTGCTAGCTTACATTTCATGCTAACTTGTTAAGATGAATGTGCTCAACTTTCAGTACTTTTTTATTTTACCTTGTCTAACACCAGATCATTTTACTTGAAAGAGAGTGGACAACTTTGATAGGTTACCTTGCTGTCTCCCTGTGTTTTGTGTAAACTCATTAAGACCCAATTCACAAATTCACACTAATGTGCTCTATTTCAAAGCTCAATATTTTGCCCTGTTAATACCAGACTATTTTGCATTATTTGGCGTTAGCACATTTAGATGCAATTCACCCTAACACTCAATCCCCACTTTCAGTACTTTGATATTTATCAGATGATTTTACTAATCAAAATGAATGTTGGTCATTGAAAGGTTAATAATTAACTGCAAAAGCTGCTGTGTGGCATATTTAGAAGCAATGTGCCCTACTTTTAGTACTTTGTTATTTTACTGTGTTTATTCTATTAAAGTGCTAGACTCTCCACTTAGAGTAAAATAATAAATTGGGTGCATTTGGGCATATTTAATGGGTTAACAAAACACATTGGAATGGTATACATAAAATAAATGTATTTGTCTTTTTACAGCTATCAACAAAGTATGGATGTAAGGCCTCAGAGGTTCGTCAACATATGAGGACAAATATAAACAACATGGGAAAGTGTTGCAAAGTACAGAAAAGCAAACAAGAACAAGAACTTATTTGAGGACTATGTTTTGAGGCCAGTTTTAAACTTAACTTTAAATGTCAATTATGGTTATTACCTATGGTTTAGCCCATTAAGTGCCAGCGCTCTGACGAGTAAAATCGTCTGGCGTTAGACAGAGTAAACTATAGTAAAATAATAAAGTAAGGCGCATCAGGGCGCAATGTGATTCAATGGGTTAACTAGACACATATATAGGAATATAGGCTAGTTAACCCATTTGGAGCCAGCATTTCCCCTTGACATTCAAGTACAATTATCTGGAGTTAGACAGAGTAAAATAGTCTGGCATTAGACAAAGTAAAATAGTTAGACAGAGTAAAATAATAAAGTAGGACGCATCATATGGCATTGCATTGAGGTAGAACGATTAATTTGGCACAATAGGTGAAAACTATAATTGATTTGTAATGTTTAGTATAACCAATTTCTCATATTAATTTTTATATTTGCAATATTAATTAGTATTTATTAATATTTATATCTATTTTTTGAATTAAAAAATTAAGAGTGATGAACAACATTGTCTGTCATTTACTATTATTTCATCTAGATTCTAGAATTTCTGCAGGAATACCAAAAATCTTATAGGAAATTAGAATAAATTATTTTCTTATAGGAGATTCCTATAATAATTTGGGACAAGACTTGAGAATTCTTATAGGAATTCTTCCTGTTAAATTCTTATAGGAATTCCTGTAGAAAAAATTCCTATAGGAATTTTTCCTATAAGAATTCCTATGGGAAAAATTCCTATAGGAATTTTGTCCCAAATTCTTATAGGAATTTTTCCTATAGGAATTCCTATAGGAAATTTTCGTAAGGGATATATTGTAATTTCTCTGCTGACATCGTTGATGAAAGAACAAGTTTCTTACCTCAATAGTTTGGGAATATGTGCCATTTGTATTACAGATGAGTCCAAAGACAAGTTAATACAAGATGTATTGCAAGGGAGATACTCTCATGTGTATGCAAGTCCTGAATGCCTTCTTGCAACTAAAAAGTGGATAGGAATATTTGCTTCAAAGACATTTTTAGAAAATCTTGTTGGAGTAGCTGTAAAGCAGATTGTATTCATCAGTGGTAAGTGTTGTGTTGTATTGTATTGTAAACCAGTTTCATATAATCATTAAATCATATTAGGGTTTAAGGCTAAACATTTATATTAACTCTTAAATTACTGAATTTTTTGGACCTGTTTTTGTTGGATTTTACATAATTTACCTTTAACCATGACTGTAGGAGGCTGTTTCTAGTAAGTAGGGCAAACTATATATTTTTAGAAAGCTAATGGAATGGAGATTATTCAAAAATAAGTTTTGGAAAAATATTTTGGTTGTTTAGTGTATTCAGGGGGGTTAATTAAAATTTTCCAATGATAAATTAGCATAATTGAATTTTTATAAATTTAAATATTTTCACAAAGCCTAGAACAGTCATGGTTTTTTCAAAAATACTAGAAACCAGTTCTAAAGTCTATGGTAAATACACCTATGAATTTTCATTTCAATCCAACATGTAGTTTAGGAGAAATTGGACATTTATGAAATTGCACAATAGAACCAAAATCCATGGTGGCCATATTGGATTTCTAAAAAGTCATATTCACACCTGATACTTTGTTTTTATAAGAACTAGTGTAAATATATTTTCATAAGGATAAAAACAGTCATATACATTCATTTTGTAGCATATAATAAAAACATTGTCACATATTACAGTTGTGCTTTGATGTGATAATGGGTAAAACACACTCCCTCGCACAAGAAAATGTTGCACTGCACACACTTGTTTGCAGTTTTGTATCCCTTCTCTTCCCTTCATTGGTCTTCTTGCTCCCACAGACTTTACACCTTCCTCTTTTTCCTCCTTTCTTTGGACCAGTTGCAAAATGCTTCCCTTTTAGTCATGATAGGTCTGCTGGTGGCCGGCCAGGGCCTGGAAGTGACGAGCGAGGACCACCACCCACACACAAATCAAGTAATGGTTGACAACGACTATAAACCAAGCTAAGTCTCAATTGCTTGTGAACCACTTTGTTATCTTTGAATTTCCTAATTTGGTAACATTAGTTATGCACATTTCAAACAGCCTCCAAAATACCTTTTTCCACCACTTGCGGCTCTTTTTGTTCAGACAATAGTAGGAGAGCAACTGATCTGCTCGATCAACACCATTCATGAATTGATTGTAAGTTGCAATCAAGTCAGGTTTATGAGGCAGTTCATCATTGCAGGCACTGTCATGAATGGTGGAAAATTTCGCTGGACTCGAAGTGACAAAACGTAACAAAGCAACGGTTTTACTAACACTAACCCTATTCCAAACACTGACCCTAACCCCAACCCTATCCCTAACCCTACTCCAAGTTTGTTTCTAAACGAATTTTGAAGAAAAAAGTTTTGAGAAAATGTCATTCTGAGGTCAGCGAAATAGTATTTTCCAGGTGGAAAGTGCAAAGACATCCCTTTTATCCTTCCATCTTCCAACAGTCAAATTGTTGTGTTTTAGGAATGTTGACTGCCCTCGAGTATAAGCAGGAGTGCTATTCTTCAATAGTTCTGCTGGCATTCCTTTCCTTTTCTGTCCTGTGACTCCTGTCTGACTGTTCCACATGCCAGTGTTTTTTTCTCATAAAGTTGTTCATAGAGAGTAGGCATACTGTAAAAATTGTCCATGAACAATCTGTGATCTTTGTTCAAATATGGCTTGACAAGATCCATTATCAGTAAATTTGAAAATTGCACACATAAGGGAAAATTGAGTCTGCCAGTACCCAATTCTTCACACCAAACTTTGCTGGCTTTTTTTGCGCCAATCATCTGCTCATCAATGCTGATTTCTCGGTGAGGTGTCCAGTGGTTTTGAAACGATTGAACCAAATGATCAATAAGTGCACGAAGTTTACCCAATTTGTCTCCAGGAAATTGTGTATCATCCGACACATGAAAATACCTTGATATCAGCACAAACCGGTCTTGGCTGAGTATCAAAGGGAACCAAGGGTGTGACAAAATTGGCTCAGTGGCAAAATAATCCAGCACTGATGGAAGATTTGCCAAGCCCATGGCAATCACCATTCCAATATAAGCAAACAGCTCTTCCACAGAAACATCAACCCACTTCATATTTGATGGTTTTCTGGTTCTCAATACAGCAGCATATCTATTTGTCTCGTCAACCCAGCTTTGCACAAGTGTTATGGGAATCAACAACTGTAAGATATCCAAAATGGTCAGTGCTTGAAGAGCTCGTCTTGACGGGCCAGGAACTTCGACAAATGGAACTGAGGACCCAGTGTTATCTTCAATTCCTGTAAATTGTTTCCATGGCAGTTGATCTTTTTTCCCCTTTTTGGGTACAGTTTTTACTTTCTTTGGCTTACCTTTTTTCTTTGGTTTGGACACCTTACTTCGTCTTTCTGTACTTGGTCCAAGCTCATCGTCTGCAATGGTCGACTCAATTCATCACTATCACCCTCATTGTCAATGTCATGGTCACATTGGTCAGAAAGTTCAGGCTAAAAAGTAAAAATATAAAACTAAACAACTTGTATTTATTATGTTGTCTATTCATATAAATAATCTTCATATTGTCAGCATTATATCTATAGTATTTTGCACAAATAACGGTAGAATGGGATAATATTATTGTTATACTTACTTAATTAAATTCTTCATCCAGAAAAAGTATTGGTTCTCTCTTGTGTGCAGAGACATTTGTCCTCATATCAGGCAATGTCATTTCTTGTCCGAATTCATCTTGAACATCAGCAACTAATTCATCCTCACTATCGCTATTTTCATCGCCAGAATCAGCTAAAACAAACTGTAAAACCTTATCCCTGTCGTACAACTGATTCTCCATATCAAGTTTTGCAAGGACGAAATATACATCAACAAAAAAGCAGCTTCTTTCTCAAAATTACGATCAACCTTTGGTCGTTTCAGTTTGACAAGAAAACATAAATATCCCAGATTGCATTGCAGGCATTCAAATTCTTATTCACCCTCAAAACCCGCAAAAACTGGTCGAAATAAAAGGGTTGCCAATTCCCCATCCAAAGTTTAAGCGGTTAAATAAACCCATCTGTGAAAAAGCCATACAGCATTATTCATAAACATACTGAGGTTGAGTGCTTCAATTAATCAATGGATCCTAATGTGATGCATATATTGTATTTAGTATTTTATAATGATAGGCTGTGGTTTGTATTATAGGGGATATGGATTCTCAAGTGCTTGACTGGGAAAACAAAGCATTCCATTTCGACAATGGTATGGGAATTTGGGAGAGCTAAGATCTCTTGTGCCATCAGACATAAAGTTTCTGATCTTGACTGCAACAGCAACTAAGTCTACAACAGAATCTATATTTGACAGTCTACGTCTATCTGCTATAAACACCTACACTGCTCAGAGGAGTCCCAACTGACCTAACCTATATCACAGCGTCCAATACATTGATATCAATATGCCTGTTGAGATTGTTTTCTCAAGGCTTATTGATGAGCTGAGCAGAAAAGAGGTTAAAACTGACTGTGCATTGATATGTTGTCAAACTCGCAAACAGTGCGCACTACTATTTACAATGTTTGAACTGAACTTGAAGGATACATTTTATCATGGCACCTCCAAACTACAAAACAGATTGGTTGAAATGTACCATGCTGGCACACCCAATTCTATAAAAGAACATGTCATCTGTGACTTTGGGCATGAAGAAGGCCATGTCTGACTCCTACTTTCCACTATTGCTTTTGGCATGGGTGTTAATTGCAAGTGTGTGCACTAGGTAATCCATTTTGGACCTTCCAAGCACATTGAGTCCTATGTGCAAGAAAGTGGACGTGCTGGTCGAGATGGAAAGTGTAGTAATTGTATTGTGTTATATAATCGTTTGCTTTCCAGTTATTGCACACAAAGCATGAAGAACTATTTGAAAAATGAGAACCTTACATGTTTATGGTCAATGATTATGGCAGAGTTTGACTGTACTACTACACTTTAAACTCTTCACAAGTGTTGTGATATTTGTGCTACAAAGTGTCAATGTGGAAGTAATGAATGTGGTACAGCAGTGTTTATAACTGATGACATTGAAGCATCGAAACCTGTGGGAACTTTGTGTGCAAATTTTGGCATGAATTATCCCATGTATAATCGTTTTAACGGTTTTGAAAAAACAACATGGCACCGAAGTGTATTCCAAATTAACCTGAAGTTCAGGCCCTAATTTGAAATAGGGCCTGACACAAAACCTGTCTAGACCGTGGGACGCCCACATGTTATTTTTAGACACAACATGCAATATGATTGACAAGTGTTGTAGATTTCGTTACACAAAAAATTTATTTTCTCATGAACCTGTCCGCAGAGTGTGCATTTTGCTTTTTAATTAAACTTAAAATTCAAGGTACTTTTATATCTTAAGAGTCAGTTTCTCTATTTAACCGAACAGCAAACAAAGATTTAATTAGTTCTGTGCACGGCTTGACTGCCAAGCTTTCTCAATATCACAACTTGCTGGACGCGGATATACTCTAACAGGCTATTAACAACAGCAACAATGAAATTCTCACTTGTACCACGAAGAAGGCAATGTAGCTCAGAAAACAATGCCAGTAGGACCTGATATTAAAAATAAGACTTGCCGGCGAAGCCAGTTGGCAGAGCATCTTGGCTGTCAACAACAAGCTTTCGAATACATGACTAGTTTGGCTGTTCTTTCAGCGTCGTGTGTCCAAAATTCGTCAAAGATTTTGAAAAAGCCCTTTCAAAATACTGTTTGTTTGATTTATTTTCTGCCATAAAGCATAAAAGAAAAGAAATTCAAAGAAATCGACAATGGAATTTGTTACGTGCGTTTGACCTTTATATTAATTGTTGCCTTGACCGAGCGGCTTGCAACCAATCAAAATCCTTCATGATGCTGATCAACCAATCAGATTTCCCATCCACCAGATGGACGGGAATCCCACAGTTTAGATAGGTTTTGTGTCAGGCCCTATTCTGTGAATAGGGCCTGAACTTCAGGTTAATTCCAAATGTGAGAACCTTACATGTTTACGGTCAATGATTATGACAGAGTTTGATTGTAGTACTACACTTGGAACCTCTTCACGAGTGTTATTTGTGCTGCAAAATGTCAAAGTGGAAGTAATGAATGTGGCACAGCAGCATTTATAACTGATGACATTGAAGTATCGAAACCTGTGGGACCATTGTGTGCAATGTGATCAGTAAACTCAACTGACAAGACAAAAGTAAAAGAACTTCTTATATCATACAAGAAGAATGTGATAGAGACAGAGATATGTAACATGACATCTACCGTTGGCATGCCAAATGTTTTCCTCGAATTTGGTTGGCTTCAAATCCAGCAAGTCTTACAAACATGTGCTGGAAAATGTTGAAATTTGGAGAAGACATAATGCAATTGATATTATATATGCAGTTGCACAATTCTTCGGTGACATTACAGTCGCACATGAGATGACAATGAAAACAGAAGATAACATTGAAATGGATTGGGATGAGCTGAGAGAAGATTCCAATCTTCTTGAATTTTTTGATAGCCAGGAATTTGAAATGGACGAAACTGACTCATCAATGGATTGCAGTTTAGCTGGAAACGATAGTTTCCTTGAAAATATTGCCATGAATAATGCACATTAATATTTCCTGATGGGTTCAGATTGCAAACAGGTGATCTTAGAACTAAAAGTAAACTTGCTCCAAGTCCATCTCTTATATGGATTTTATTGTAGGATTGCGAGTTTACTCCCCAATACTCTTATAACTCCACCAATAAAATTCCTATAAGAGACATACTTGGAGCAAGTCTAGGCAAAAGCCTGTTTTTCTTCTTGCAATTTTTTGTAAAGCAACTTTTCCCCTTGTTGGTATATTTCATTTTAGATACCTTTCGGCAAAAATCAATGCTTTCAAACTGAAGAAAAAAGTCCCTTTGCCTGAAGAAAAATTTGCTAGTGAAAACCATGACACAAAAGTGAGTCGTATCTAGATTCAATTAGATTAGATTTATTAAAATACTTGAATGGCAGTTGAAAATCGAACTGAAAAACACAAGTTTACATAGTTTAAAAATAGTAAAACAAAATACGTATATACAGATTATAGATACGCTGGTAATACTAATTACTATAACGTAGGATTGCCAGTTTACAAATGATATATTAATCTATAGAAGCGTAAAAGGTTAAAAAGAGTTCCATTTGCGTACGCAATATGGCAAAAGACTATCATTATAGCGTTTAGTTCGGGTTTTAAAAAGTGAGATAGATCGGGAATGTCTAAGATTGTACTGATGATCTAAAGGTTCAGGTAGATTAAAAATTTTGCTTGAAGTGTCACTATAATTGTTTTTGTAAAAAGATCTGCATAACAATTCCCTTCTCTCCTCAAGAGTGGGCAACTTTAGGTCTACACATAGATTAAACAAATCCTATTATAATATGATAACTATCAAAACATTTATGGTATAAATATTCATTTGTTGTAATGCAAAGCAAAAATACTGAAAAATTATGTACATTTTCAAATATTTGTGTCAATGTATACTATATCGTCCCAGGGCTCAAAATAGTGGGCTGCCAATGGTCAAAAGCAGGTCATATTTTATAAATGGCAGGCAAAAATAAATTTGAACTGCCAAGTCAAAAATAGACAAGTTTAAAAATAATAAAAATGCATATCATGAAAACATTGATTTTTACAAAATGGTGGACTGAAATTTATTTTACCTGCCAAAAAATTTTAGATTGGCATGCCATATTTTTTTCTCTACTTAGTGCCCTGATCTTCCCCAGTTTTCCATTGTGCTTCAATACATTAACAATTACACCCAAGCTTAGACATACAAATAAATAAGCCTCTATCTGGCTTTTCGGTGCAGAATCATGTATTTCTTGTGTTCGCTGATCCAGGCATAAAATTTCTGTAAATTAAAGCCAGATAAAAGAGAGGGTTTGATTTCAGGGAAGAAACAATAAGACCTGCCGGGTAATTTGGTAAGTGCATTCTGGAACAACACTTTGTTCACAATCTTTTTTAAATCACCTGTGTCAGATTTGCGAGAATGACTTCGTTTTTTTATGGTAGTAATATGTGATTCGAAGAAGCATTTGAGGAGGGAATGAAGGGGCATGAGATTATGAATTGTGGTTATTTGAATGCAAAGAAGCGGGATAAGGGAGGGCCGTTTGATGGAGGTTATATTTCATTTTACGTAGTGCTAAATCTTGTTTTAACTTTATATTGTCAAGATAAGGACGAGGCTATACGTCGTGTGGAAGCTCTCGAAAAAGTTAAAGCATTCAATCATGGCGGACGTGAAATTTGTGGCTCCGTTATTTGTCTTATTTATTTTATGTATCTCCTACTTCGATGTTAAGCACACACCAAATGATCTTGATGTTGCTCAAACCTGTTCTTGTATAAATAAGGACGCTTTTGAGTTAGGAAGGTACTTTTTGTAGTTTTCTATCGACCCCAAGCTCCGACCTACCTCTTATCTTAAAGAATTCACCAAATCTTTACGCTTGGCTTCAAAGGCAAAATTCGATAATATAGTAATTGCGGGTAATTTCAATTTACCTGATATCGACTGTATTAATATTAATGCTACTACTGAAAACCCTATCTACTCTCATTTTATTAAAATAATCAATGACTATTTCCTACCATAATCTGTTCAATTACGCCCGGAATATGGTATATTAATTTAATCAGGACACATGCATTGGTCAAAACTATTGAAAATATTTCAGAATTAATATTATTAATAGGAGCATTTTTCAAGATATACTGCATGTGCATGCATTGGATAACATACCTTGTTATTAGTAAGTTATATAACTTTTCTTGCAACAAATATTTTGCACCAAAATGAATAAGCAACAGCAATGCTATATATATACCTTTCTGTTTCCATTTCATTCCAAGTCATCAGGATATTTCCATGGGCAACTGCTAGACCGGTTTGTCTCGAACCCTGTGGTAAGACTGGACTTGGAGTAAGAACTCTGAGTAAGTATTATTGACAGCTGGGTCATCTACTAGGGCTTTGGCAAGAATTTGTAACATCAATGACTTTCCTACATTTCGTTCAGCAGAGTATATCATACTGATAAGGCCAGGGTCATCTAGTCAGAAAATAAAAAGAAAATAAACATGTGATACATTTTTATTAGAGGTATGAGACATGATATTATTGATGAAAAGAATATTACGTTGCGAGGAAATCTTAGTAGTCAGGGTTATGAGTGTCGATTTGTGTACTAGTTTTTCATGTGTAACTTGTGGTGATGACGAAGAAGTCTGTGTTGGTGTATAGATATAACATGTAAAATTGACAACAAGCACCAAGCCAATATAAACATTCATGTTTTTATTGCTTCTGTGCGAACAATGTTTGTGACTCTTTCCAATAAAAATTGCCATTACAATCAACTAATCACAGAACCTGTTAAGACTTATTTGCACTATACTATACTCAAATTTTAAGCCGATTGCATCGTTTTAGGCAAATGTAGCATATTGTAAGTTGGGCTTTAAAATTATGATTACCTGCTGTGCCTTGTCCTAAAACGATGATGGTGACTGGTTTGATGATGAGGACTTCGTTTTTTTATGGTAGTAATATGTGATTCGAAGAAGCATTTGAGGAGGGAATGAAGGGGCATGAAATTATGAATTGTGGTTATTTGAATGCAAAGAAGCGGGATAAGGGAGGGCCATTTGATGGAGGTCATATTTCATTTTACGTAGTGCTAAATCTTGTTTTAACTTTATTTTGTCAAGATAAGGACGAGGCTATACGTCGTTTGGAAGCTCTCGAAAAAGGTAAAGCATTCAATCATGGCGGACGTGAAATTTGTGGCTCCGTTATTTGTCTTATTTATTTTATGTATGTCCTACTTCGATGTGAAGCACACACCAAATGATCTTGATGTTGCTCAAACCTGTTCTTGTATAAATAAGGACGCTTTTGAGTTACGAAGGTACTTTTTGTAGTTTTCTATCGACCCCAAGCTCCAACCTGCCTCTTATCTTAAAGAATTCACCAAATCTTTACGCTTGGCTTCAAAGGCAAAATTCGATAATATAGTAATTGCGGGTCATTTCAATTTACCTGATATCGACTGGATTAATATTAATACTACTACTGAAAACCATATCTACTCTCATTTTATTAAAATAATCAATGACTATTTCCTACCATAATCTGTTCAATTACGCCCGGAATATGGTACATTAATTTAATCAGGACACATGCATTGGTCAAAACTATTGAAAATATTTCAGAATTAATATTAATAGGAGCATTTTTCAAGATATACTGCATGTGCATGCATTGGATAACATACCTTGTTATTAGTAAGTTATATAACTTTTCTTGCAACAAATATTTTGCACCAAAATGAATAAGCAACAGCAATGCTATATATATACCTTTCTGTTTCCATTTCATTCCAAGTCATCAGGATATTTCCATGGGCAACTGCTAGACCGGTTTGTCTCGAACCCTGTGGTAAGACTGGACTTGGAGTAAGAACTCTGAGTAAGTATTATTGACAGCTGGGTCATCTACTAGGGCTTTGGCGAGAATTTGTAACATCAATGACTTTCCTACATTTCGTTCAGCAGAGTATATCATACTGATATGGCCAGGGTCATCTAGTCAGAAAATAAAAAGAAAATAAACATGTGATACATTTTTATTAGAGGTATGAGACATGATATTATTGATGAAAAGAATATTACGTTGGGAGGAAATCTTAGTAGTTACTGGGTTATGAGTGTCGATTTGTGTACTAGTTTTTCATGTATAACTTGTGGTGATGATGAAGAAGTCTGTGTTGGTGTATAGATATAACATGTAAAATTGACAACAAGCACGAAGCCAATATAAACATTCATGTTTTTATGGCTTCTGTGCGAACAATGTTTGTGACTCTTTCCAATAAAAATTGCCATTACAATCAACCAATCACAGAACCTGTTAAGACTTATTTGCACTATACTATACTCAAATTGTAAGCAGATTGCATCGTTTTAGGCAAATGTAGCATATTGTAAGTTGGGCTTTAAAATTATGATTACCTGCTGTGCCCTGTGCTACAACGATGATGGTGACTGGTTTGATGATGAGGACGAGGACTTCGTTTTTTTATGGTAGTAATATGTGATTCGAAGAAGCATTTGAGGAGGGAATGAAGGGGCATGAGATTATGAATTGTGGTTATTTGAATGCAAAGAAGCGGGATAAGGGAGGGCCATTTGATGGAGGTTATATTTCATTTTACGTAGTGCTAAATCTTGTTTTAACTTTATTTTGTCAAGATAAGGACGAGGCTATACGTCGTCTGGAAGCTCTCGAAAAAGGTAAAGCATTCAATCATGGCGGACGTGAAATTTGTGGCTCCGTTATTTGTCTTATTTATTTTATGTATCTCCTACTTCGATGTTAAGCACACACGAAATGATCTTGATGTTGCTCAAAGCTGTTCTTGTATAAATAAGGACGCTTTTGAGTTAGGAAGGTACTTTTTGTAGTTTTCTATCGACCCAAGCTCCGACCTACCTCTTATCTTAAAGAATTCACCAAATCTTTACGCTTGGCTTCAAAGGCAAAATTCGATAATATAGTAATTGCGGGTAATTTCAATTTACCTGATATCGACTGTATTAATATTAATGCTACTACTGAAAACCCTATCTACTCTCATTTTATTAAAATAATCAATGACTATTTCCTACCATAATCTGTTCAATTACGCCCGGAATATGGTATATTAATTTAATCAGGACACATGCATTGGTCAAAACTATTGAAAATATTTCAGAATTAATATTATTAATAGGAGCATTTTTCAAGATATACTGCACATATGATGCCTAAAATAAGCGGACGGTTTTTTAAAATATGGAATGTTACGCGTGCTATCGTAACCATTGCCAAAGTAAAGTGTGCGCGACAAAGCTCCCGGAAACGCACCTCCCGGAAACGCACCTGAGCTGTCGTATACAATGTAAAGCAGACAATTTTTTATGCATTTGAGCTGTAAGCAGACAATTTTTTATGCGTTTCTGACTAATAAATTATGTCGAATAAGAAAAAGAAACGAACACCTAGCATGTTTGATTTCGACAACGTTAAAGCGAGCGTCCAAGAGAAAGCATGCCGAACTCATCACGTGTCACTGAAAGACCGATGCGATCGTCAATGATTTACGAAGTGTTTAAAAGCCTACGTTCAGCAAACCTTTCAATGGAAGAAATAGAAACATACAGTAAAATACTTGAATCTCGATGCCCGGTGTTTATGTCCGTAAATGATCCGATTACCGATATCGATTTTTCGAGTGATAAAGATTTGTTGGTCAAGTATCTTACTCCACCGGTGTCTGTTTGCATGCGATGCGATAAACGATTGTCTATGAGAAACAACCCATCAAGAGCGGTGTTATTTACGTTGCGCGGACCTGTTCGGTGTGCGAAAGTAACTTTGGAATGCAGAGACTGCTCAA